AGGAAACAAGAAATGGAAAATTATTTGTTGACAATAACATGTTTGTTGATGTGCTCGATTGAGACAATATACAGTGTACTCTGGATGGAAAATCTTATTTTGTATGTTGTAATGATGTACAGTGAATGAACGTAAACAAATAAATTTAAATTAAAAAAGAATAATTTCTATAAAGAATGGTAGAAGAAAATATGACAAGAGGTAAATGCTTGGGTCAAGAATAAAATTATTTTGTATTATTACCTATCGAACCATAAAATGAGTACTTAGTACATGAATTAGCAATGGACAGAACACAGAATATCATGCTGAGGGATATGTGGATTAATTTTGTGGATGGGTGGAGTTTAAAAATAATGTAATCTTCTCTAGAAATTAAAATACTCCTTTGTAAATCATAAGGGTTATTTCTGCGAAGATGGAGTTGAAGACCTGGGAGTGATGTTGGATGTAGCAAGAAATGACTTCTGTGCACTAGTGAGGAAGCCATTGATGACTGACATTATTCTTTATTTTACCTGCTAAGGGATCAGACAGAATTAGAATATTGTGGATCCTTAAAAGTTTTCTTTCTTTATTTTTTAAAGAATTATTAATTTAATTTGATTTATTATTACTATGTTTTTATTTGTAGAACATATGTGCTCAGCATATAGAGACAGAGAGGGAGAGAAAGAAAACAACACATCAGGTTGAGACTCAAACTGTGCTCAGCCATATGGATGTCAAGAACTTTAGGGAAGCAGCAGTTAGTGTAATGGCTATGTTGCTGCACTCCCACGGTTCGCGTCCCGGACCCAGTGGCTTAAAACTCACGCCGGGCGCGCGTGTGTGCATGCCCAAGATCCCGAGAGGAGAATGGAGGAAAAGGGATTGTGGCGTGACCATCCCCCCTGGGAAGTGATTTCTCGCTTTCTGTCTCTATGCCTCTCTCTGTCTGTCTGGCGAGCGCACGTGCCCTATAGTGAAAATATCTCAAAAAAAAAAAAAAAAGAACTTCAAGAACTTTAACCACACATCTCCTGCTGGTCCCTATTTGTTTATTTATTTAGAAAAAGATTTTTGTAATAGGGCATATGTAATCACCAGAGAGCCATAGAGAGAGAAAGTGAGAAACATACCCCAGGAGGCATGGTCACACCACAGACCCTTCTCCTCCATTGTCCTCTCAAGATTTTGGGCATGCACACATACAAGACTGATGTGAGATATAAGCTGCTGGGTCTAGACTTGAACCACAGTTGACCATGTGGGTGTCCAGTGCCTAACCATTATGACACCTGTGGGTCCAACTTTTGTGAATTTTGACACCATTAAAAAACCCAAATCTTAACAGCAGTCTTGTGATATAGTCATTTTGGCCTCTCTTGGTCACAACATTACAAAGCTTATTCTTTCAGGGTGGGGTTATCCTCAAAAATTTTACTTGACCATTATGAAATCATAAAGCCTAGGAAATAAAAACAGTTCAAAACATGTTTTACCCAAGTTGTTTTTTTTACCAAAATGGTGGGTGACAGGTACAGAGCCCCAGGGCAGGGAAATTCCCAGAGCTGCTGATTGGGATGTAAGTGAAACAGTAAAGACTGGGAAGCCATAGCTGCTCAGATTAAGAGTGAATCTCAGCAGCACAGCTCCTGTGGAAATGCCCTTTTGAATGCTTCTAGCTATGTCCCTGCCATGTCAGTCTGGCACATGACATGCACTGTATAGGTTGAAGTGAGACCATGGAAGTGAGAATCCTCTGTGACCTCCAAATAGTTGCCTCTCCCAACAGAGGGCTGATCCTGCAGACACAATCCAGTTCCATCTCCTTCTCAGCTCCCACACATAGGACTTTTTATCTGTGTTGTGTCAGCTCAGACATGTCATTATCTTTGATTAGTGTCTTTCTACTTCTTCAGTCTTTACAAACAGCATGTGCGATGGAATATTGGAGTTGTCTTAGATACCTGAAGCCAAGTGTCTACAAGGATGGAGACCTGATACTGGGTGGGTTTTTCCCTTTTTATATCTCAGAAATACTATCTGTACATAAAAGAAGTTTTCTAATAAGGGCAATTCAAGAAGTGGTAAATAATTGGTAAGTTGTTGGTTGTATGTATATGAAAATGTGTTTATAACTGTGTAATAATGCAATTGGCATATATACATGTGTGTATGATTAATCCCACTTGAGAGTAAGCAAGTATCACAGAAAAGAGACATGTGCAGAATTCTGAACTCAGGGTGTTCTGCCTTGTTATCCTTTTATTATCTTTATTTTTCTTATTTTCAAAGTTTCTCCATTTCTTTCAAGAGAGAAGAGAGAAATTAGTGGAATTTGTTGTCCACTCCATCGTAACTATCCCATATTCAGTCTTTGGGAGGCTCAGAATGAGTGAAATTGATGGAACCTCAGCCCTTTTAGCATCAATACCTGTATACTGAGGCCAACATGCATATTGAGACACTGATCCCCTGACATGACATTAATGTTAGCATCAAGGTGCTGAATCTGGGTGCTCCCTGCTAGCTAGGGGAATGTATCATTGTACTTTGTAGAAAAGTCATGGATGTCTAAAGGCCACCATCATATATAAATAAGGAAGAATGATCACACTGCCATCACTTCAAGATGTTTCTCTCAAGATTTTGAGCATGTATGCACGTGTCTGTAGCAAAATTTTCAAGCTGCCAGACCTGGGGCTTATACCATTGTCAGGCATATGGAAATTAAGAACTTACCCACCATGCCACTTGCTGGGCCCTCAATATATTTTAAAGCAGAATAAAGAATGCTTCCTTTAAAGCCTCAAATTATATATGGGAAGTGTGACCATGAGATTTTAAATTAGTTCAGAAATACTAGGTTCAAATTTGAATTTAACAAGGACAAGTAGTTATTTATACCCAAAGAGAAAGGTGAGAGTAATTGGATAGAAAATTACTAAGTGGTAGCACTATACTTAATGAAGATTCTGGCCAAATCCACTTACATGGATTACATGCAAGTGTGCACATAGTACCAGGAGAGCTTTCATGTGATTACATTTTAACAATCAGGACCAGCCTGTGGCATTGTGGTTAAGCCATTGTACTATACCACATGGTCCCAGATTGAGTTGCAGATCCAGCTGCTTGAAACTCATTGTTCATACTCCAGACAGTGACAGGTTTCAGTCTGATTTTAGCTCAGCAAAAGGGAGGCATAAATTCCTCTGAGACTTGAAATGGGGACATGATGAAATTTTACCAGACCACAGAAAGTAAAACCACAGTAACGCCATTATGCAGAGCTCATCTTCTATCTACCTAGAGTGGGATCTAACTCCTAACTCAGCATGGAGGTTAAGGCAGCTGGTTCCCATTTGGCTGACTATGTGGTTTGAGTACTGAATAAAGTGACCTGAAAAACATGCCAAATAGATGTGTACCTGTCTGTTCAATAATCCCAAGTGCAGAATAAAGGAGAAGGGATCATGTCATGACCAGCCTGTTTTCCCTGACTGTGTCTCTTTCTTTCTCTGGCAATCGTGTGCACACTAAGGCAAAAACCTTTTAGAAAAAAAAATTATGAATGTTTAAATTAAAGCTGAAATTTAAGAAATGAAGACCAAAATAATTTTACTGAGAATGGAGAAAGAACGAAAGACATCACAAAACAATAATTTTAAAATAAATAAAAGTAAGCTATTTTAAAAAATTTAAAATACAGTTTTAGCTAATATTCATTAAAATCTAAGAATTTCCAAGTGGAAAGTGAACAGATACAAAGACCAATTAGCTGAAGAGATAAGTGATTTTACAAACTGGTAAAAAGACTTGATGTAGTCAATAATTAGCTAGAAGATCTGAATTAAATATTTATTTTTTTTCATAATATTCATTTTCTGTAAACTTAGCACATTTTTTTCTTTATTCATGCTAGAGTCTTATGCATGCACATGTGGCAGGGGCAGGGAGGGAGACGGGAGAACTGTGTCATGCCCTGAGCCCTTTCCTCTAGTCCTTGTGTCTTGAATTTTTTTTTTAATTCATTTTCTACATTAATTCACTATACACCATCACTACACACAAATGACTTTTCCATCCAAAATACACTGTGCATGGGCTCAATTAAGTACATCAACACACATGTTCTCAGCAAAATAATTTTCCAATTCTTATGTCCTGCATGCCTTGCCTTTTGTTTTGCCATCCTTGATTCCCCATCCCCCACCCTCTGCTATGTCCCATCCTCCTCCCCCATTGTCTCTGGCATCCACGGCTGCCCTCCATGCCCTCCCCCCCCTTCAATTGTTCTGCCAATGAACTTAATTAGTCTT